TTGTGAGTTTACACAATGATGAGGGGAACAAGTACTGTATACAATTGCGAGTTGGGGGGAGGGTGGGTTGTAAATGATGGCTTGTCGAGGTAAATTATACATAAGTTTACTAGTGCGTCGTTGGCTGTGAGCGACTGTGAGACAACTGACAGTTATCAAGGGACATTTGAGAGCTGTTACGTCACCACCAGTTGACACGTCGAAACGATAAATTTGTGGTGACTGCGCTGTCGCAGGTGCTTGTCATCACATGTCGTTAGGTATACTAGTACAAGAACATCGGCAACATCATGTAGTCCGCTCGCATGGAGGACCCTCCTCCACATTTGTATTAGTCGACATGAAAATAATGATCGTGTAGGTTTTCACGCATGAGCCTCGCACAAACTGAAGCCTCAACTACAGCAAAAAAACTACATCCTAGTACAACGTCGTAAACTAACTGTAAGCCTGAATCATAACCTCAAGGTCAGCCATTATTCAATCGCTTTTTTGTGTAAACTTTGAGTTTACTACACAATGAGGAGGGGAACACGTATGGCTCCAGCCTCATCTTGGGTGAGGCAACCTCTTCGTCTACCGGTGGTCGAGATTCCATCACGTGCCGTCGGAGCTTACGCAGCGCATGGCGTCGCTTGGTAGCGTACACCTTTTGAAGTGCGTTTTGTTTTTGGCGTGGTGGAGCTCGCAGAGGCGATGGAGGGCGCGCTTGGCCGTCCGCATGTTGGGTTAGGGTTTGTACATATTTGCACTGCAGGGAGCTGAGAAGTTGGTTTGCTGGTATTTTTTTAACGGCAGCTGCCCTTGGAATCAAATATAATAATGAGAAACCATTTGGTAACCTTGTCGCCAATCGAAGCCATAACACGTACTAGTAGCAGCTTTATTCTTGTTGCGCCAATATGGTTCACTGAGCGACATGCATTACCCGAATAGCCAAATTCAATGATCAAGTCATGTCATTTTGCGGCCGATGCTGCAAATTGTAGACCTGGTCTGGGAGTAATTATACTCGACCTGTGAAACTACCGGAATACTATTAATATCATGTTTTGGGGCATTTCAAGTGTGTTAGATTTCCCACTTAACATGTGTGGTAGCGGGGGAGTCTCTGCACTCACTGTGGGGTGTAAAAGTTGGAGGTCGCAGCATTCACCGGACGATTCGACCTTGGACTCGTGCCTTTATGGATGCTTAGAACGTAGGTATTTGGTTCTAGAATTGAAATGGCCACGCTGTGGTTTCCACTTGAATGGCCCAGTGGTGGCGTTGTGCCTGGAGAGTGGGGGTGGACTTATTTGTTCTATAGCTATGATGACGTAGCGGCGCAACCCGCCAAGTTTAACGCTCATGTTGCTGGTTATTGTGTCAGTTGCTATGCTACACATCGAGTGTACGTGCAGCGGGTCGACGAGCCTGAAAGCCAAAACTCAGGTTTTCGTACATTCGACCATATTGTACACGACATGTGAGCACTGTAGTACTATGCTCAGATCGTACAAAGTGAAGTGTTTCCATTGATGAATATATGCGAGAGCTTAACGTCGAGTGCCAGGAGGGGGTTAGCCAACCAGGGTTGAACATACGGTCGCCATCGAAGAAGTAATGGAAGCCCGCGGCGTCTCGTGGTGTCAGTGGGCCGGTGGAGAGGCTTGTACAGCGAGGAAAAACCTCCAGCGCCTGCTTAGTGAGAAAGTCGGCCGATTGGTTCCCGTCGCACAGGTAGTAGCTCGGCCACTGAGCCAGAATGTGTAGGCGGTACCGTCGGGCTCGCGTAATAGGGGGGTGACAGTGTGTGGCGGCGATCCAGAAGGGGAATGCTTGGTGGTACCAGTGAACCACTGGAATTCCCCTGGTAGGTCGGAGGTGGTCATTCTGGGCCCAGAAAGTGGATCTACAAAGATGCCATCTGGAGGCATAGGTGTGTACGGCGGTGGGCAAATTTTTCGGCCATGAAGGGTACCGTGAGGAGGGTCGCATTGAAGTGTGTAACGAAGAGGGCGGGCGGCGTGAAGAGGTCCTGAGAGGGGGGAAGGGAACCACACGACAGGCCGTTACAGAAAGGGGGTTTTGGTTTAAAAAGGGCTAAGCTAAGGGAGGGCACCTCTTGTCGGGGGAATGGAGGGGGGCTGGAAGGGGTAAAACTCCAGGGGGCGTAAAAATCTCCCTGAACGCGTCAGAGAAGGAATCATAAAGCGGGTATTTTGAGGGGCTGGTCATTCAGGTGTCGAATCCAAATGTTGTAGTGGAGGGAAGTGTGCCATAGCAACCGGCGCCATACAAAATGCAAGAGTTATTAACACACTAACTCGTGGTGATGTGCTGCGGTTTAAGACTTGTCCAAATCTATTTATAGCGGCAAGTGCACCAAGTTACTATTAATAGCAACGTTACGCGTATGCAGAGTAACTGTTAACGGTAGTTCTAGTTTTCCATCAAAGACTTGGGTGTTATTCAAACAACTACGTTCGTCCCAACTGGCGATCTCGCGGCGGCAGCAGCTTTTGAATCTTCACCATGCTGTCTTCTTTGATCGAGCTATATTCCACCAGTAACAAGAGACTTGATGGTTAGTATATATTCCCATTAAAAACCTATTTTAAGTTAAATAAATATCAAAAGAATCTAAGATTTTTTATTAAATTAAAAAAAAAGGAAAAAAATAATTAAAATTTTAAAGTATATCACCAATCGAAGAACGAATCAATCACCTGAGGTCGTTCGGCGTAACAAAAATAAACTGCTTGGTGGCTTCGGTTTTGGCGGTTTCAATCAGCAGCTTGAGCGTAAGTGTTCGGTTAATGCTGTCCATAAACACATCGAACTCGTCCATGACTCTAAACGGACACTCGATGCACTCGCCCAGAGCCATCAAAAGTGATACTTGGGTGAAACTGCGCTCGCCGCCCGACAATTGCTTCATATCGTTCACCTAATATATACATACAGTGATCGAATATTATTTAGTATTTTTTATGTTTTATTACGACTCAATTGGTGAACAAGATATGTACTATTTATTATTCCATAGCAAGTAGTTACACGGAGAGTAATAACCATCTTATTTGATACAACGACGTTGGACCAAATCATATACACTCGCCAGGCGTATAGTGAACACAAAGGGTATTTTTGCAAAACATGCATACTGTATATACTCTGCACCAGTCGAAACGAAAAACATATAAATATACTAATAGTAGATATAAATATACTAATAGTAGATATAAATATATTAATTGTAGATATAAATATACTAATAGTAGATATAATTATACTAATAGTAGGGCAGTGGCTATAAAAACAACGCCAAATTCCCAATTTTGTAATGGTTCAAGGCCAATATACTATTTCTAGGCCATCGAGAATGGATATCAAGAACCGCCTCAGCCAATCAAATCACGTTCTGGTGAATTTCTACCAATCCAAACGACTGATTAGCCCAGGCAGGGATACGACATGTTGTATACTCTAGCCATACAATCTCTTTGAAGTCCACATAAGCACCCAATCCATATCCAATTCCATATAGAATATCAATTGTATATATTGTGGATTCCCCGTCGACTCGACTCGATTCGCGATTGGCTAAAACCATCCAATCATTTTGCGTGGGTTGTTTGATTGGCTCGTACAAATAGGACAAAAGTAGATTCAACCAATCAGAATCTCAACGTGTGATATTCTTCGATACAACCCACGCGAAAATGTTTTAGAAAAATATGATTTTAGCGAAATATACATCGCATATATATATATTGTGTTCGTACCACAGACAACTTGGTGCCGCCCTCTTTGTTTCTCACCACTGCCACGTCCAATCGCTGGCCAGTATGGTCAAATTTCAATTTCCCAGCAAAATCTCGCTTCATCATAAACTTGTTAAAGCCGAGGGACGTCCGCGTCGCGATTTCTTTGCGCAGGGCGGCCCATTTGAGCTTTCGTTTCACGAGCATGGCGCTTACATGGTGCACGTTGTCCGATAGATTTTTGAACTCGATGGCCTTTTGATTGAGTTTGCCGGCTTTTTCCTGCACATCGAGCTCCAATTCGCATAAGTCCATGTGATCAAACTGCGCTTTTTCCACTGTCATGCGGTGGTTCAGCTCGTGGATCTGGGCATTATAATACGACGGATGCTCGACGTCCTCGATGCGGCCGCAGATGCTGCTGGCTTTATCGACGCTGTCTTGGACTTGGGCGGCGGCGGTGGCCACTTCGGCCGCTTTGCGCGCGATTTCGCCGTCCAGTCGGTCAACTTGCTGGGTAGCTTTGACCTGTTTGGCTTTGGCTTGCATTAGGCGCTGGTATAAACCCATGGTTTGGTCCTTTAGTTCGTTTAATCGAGTGTGAATCGATCGCTCCGTGGCTTGCAAAGTCGACAAGTCTGTGGAAATCACGGCGAGTTCAGGATTGTCGTGCTCGAGCTAGGGAAATAGGTAGAGAGAGGTTAATGATATATATAGAGAGGTGGTTTTTTGTTGAGATGAATATATATATGATACTGGTTTGAAATATGTATATATATTTATAGAGAGATAGAGTGGTGGTACCTCGTCGTTCAACACTTGCAACCGAGTGTGCATCGTGTCCATTTCAAACTCGAGTTCGGTTTTTTCGTCGTCCAGCATGGTCGTATCCCCAATCGACGTCTATATATATATATATATATATATTATATATATATATATATTATATATATATATCATTCTAAATGTGCTTCAAAATTATTATAATTGGATGGATATATAATAGTTTAGGCAATACGAACGAAACTGGGAGCAAAAACCAACCAACAAAAATGAATATTCCCATGGGGATTCCATCCGACCGTCTCCCATTCGGAAAAGTTAAAATATAATTTAATACAATGATATACTTTATAGATCAATATAATACCGTATTCTCCCATTTGGCAATATATATATTATTGTAAATACAATCACGTACATCCATAGACTGATCTTGTTGGCGCTTGAGTCGGTTCAAGTCAGTTTCGAGGGTATGGATGCGGCGGTTCACTTCACTCATCTTGCGTTCGTGCTCTTCTTGGTCTCGGTTTAGCGCATTTCTCCGGCGAATCATGTTTTCTATGAAATATTTTAATATATATATATATATATATAGGCTGATTACCACCCCATCATAAAGCAATAATTTTCGTGTGATGACATAAAAAAGTCCTTAAAAGAGACCATCTATAATGAACTAACACTGGACACGAATATCAACCTCATCAGTCCATTGACATACAACACATGTATATATAATATATATATATATATATATATATATATAAATAAATACCAACCCTTGTTAAAACGTATTAAGACATACGAATATCAACCCCATCAGTCCAAATATAACTCAACTTTCACACACACAGTCATCGCTCATCTCTTAAACGTATACACATAGGAACAGTCGATCCAAATCCATAATAAAGCACCGTGTATCTGTCTATCTATATATATATATATTATCAGTCTATATATATATATACATATATCCTCCAACGCACATCAATACATACGTAAAGAAATAATCGATCCAAATCCAAATCGAGCACAGTATTTCAGTCTATATATAAATCCCCTTCAACACACATTAATAAATAAATATATATATATTTGCACCTTCGTCCCGCTGGAGCACTTCGTAGTGGCGGTCCAGCACTTGCAGTCTGTCCGCGAGCTCGTTTTCCTCGGCCGAGTGATCTTGCGATAGAATTCGCGCATGTTTCATGGTTTTATTCGCAATAAATCCCAAATTGCCTCGTCGGGCAAAGAATTTATCGCCATTTGGCATGTACACTTCCGACACATTGGCATAAAACTGCACCGACCGACTGCCGCTGGTAGACGACGACGCAATAGTGCGTTCTTCGCCTTCTTTGCGCGAGTCAAATATCAGCTACAAGAGGAATATATATATGTATTTTAGAAACAATATATATTTATATATCATTCACCTTGGATTCGATCTTGGCAATGTCCACCAACGCGTTAAACACGTTTGGGTCATCTACCGACACAATCGACGCCACCGCGTGTTCTTGCAGAGATCCCGTAGGAACATGCAGTCCAGAATATCTAAATATATATATATATATATTTATATCGGGGATTGTTGGATTTATATATATATAGAATGAAATGTACTTGTGAGACGAACGCTTGGCAATCAAAATGCTAACTTGTCCACACTTGGCTTTGGCTTTGAGTCGATCAAACAGCGCTTTATCCGGTCCAGAGGCCACCAAGTAGCTGTTGAGCACATTTTTCAAGATCAATTCCACGGCCAACGTCTAGAAAAATATTATATATATATATATCATATATATATCAAGTCGTACCCAATGCTTTCTATGCTCTGGAATTGACACATATAACCCCAACGGACCAATGGGAGGTTGGGAAAACCGATCCAAATTCTCTTCGATCAACTGGTTCAAGTACGGCACGCCATTTCCAAACGCCAACAGCCTGGAAAATATTTTAATATATATATATATATAATTAGAGAAATAATTACCGATTCTTGGACTGGTCTCGAATCGAATGGAGGCGAGCGCCCACCCGTTCGCGCTCGCTTTTGCAGTCGCGTCGCTGGCCCTTGCAAGTGTCCAATTCTTCAGTCAATCGATTTAATTCGGCCGAAAAATCCACGTTCCCGCGCTCCTAAAAATATATATATTAATATATATATATATATTTCACTCCAGATATATTGAACCAATCAATACAAACCGATTTCAATACATACAGAGTGAAAATCATAAACCCTTTCAATATATATATATAGAGAAACCACATCAATCCACAACTAATTAGTGTGTGTGACTTCAATTAGTGTGAGGGGCAAGATCATCATCTCCATACAAATTTCTGTCCAAAATATATATCGATCGATGGAGATGGCAAAAATCATCCTCAACGTCCACAGTTTGGCAAGTTCAGGTGCGATATATATATATATAGTCAATCAAGAGTATATATGATTAAATAATATAGGTAGATATATAACCTCCAAGTGTCTTTTTTGGTCGAGGGCGTCGTCCAGTCGGAGTTGGACCGAGTCCAATTCTTTGGCCGATTGCGCTTGTTTATGCTCTAATGAACTCATGTATTCCTGGTATCTCTGCCGCTTCTTGAGCTTGTCCTTCTCGATCTCCACCAGTCGTTTCTTGGACTTTTGGAGGTTGTGTTCCAGTTGTTTGCGTTCTACAATAAATAATACTCTATATATTGGCAAAAATCCAGTTGTATGCGTTCTACAAAAAATAATACGCTATATATTGGCAAAAATCCATTCGAAATAATCTATCAGGGCAAAATTCCATTCGAAATTGGAGAAAATAACCCAAAGAGAATAGAGGAACGAACCGTCTAAGCCAATCAAATCAAGATCTGTCGAATTTATTCTGCCAATCTAACCATACATGTATCATATATAGATATATCGACGAAATAAAAAAATCCAATGCACAATCCAGCAAACCCACACATAGATAGATAGTAGTAGCATACGACTGTCAGGACGATATAATAATAAACTATACAGCAAACAAACAAACAAATATACATCAGGGGACAGTCCACATCGGCAATCATATACATCTATATATATATATATACATATATATATATATATCTGAGCAACCAACCAATCATCAGCAATCTGGTACCACCCAAAACTATGAGAATGAGCAAAAAAGTCCCAATATACAACCCTCCTCCATATCCTTATAAAATACCCCCCAACACACTCCCCAAAAACCACAACTCCATTTATCTGTATTATATATATATATACAACCGTACCCGCCTCTTTAATTTGCTGGGGATATCGCAGTTGGCGCTGCCGATGCTTGAGTTCTTGCTGTTGTTTGTCCAGATCTGCCAACTTTTCCGTTTCGAGTTCGAGGGATTCGTTTAAATGGTGCTGATCTGCAGTCAAAACTTCCACTTGGGCTTGGTATTTAGCCATATGTTTCTTATAGCTGTCGGCTTTGGTTTGGCACTGCTCTAGCTCTTCGCGCAGGGTTTCGTATTCGGTTTCCTTTACTCGGACAAACGACCACGCCAAATGGTGCTTGACACTGACCAGTTTCTCTTCCAAGTGCGCAAACTAGATATGCGGAAAAATATTTTATAAATGTGGCCAACCTCCCCACAGATACCGGTACTAGGAATATATAGACGTACAGATTGAGCTTTTTCATACATTTTCACGGCTTGGGCGTGGGCCTGTTGGAGTAACTGGACCTTGCGACCCTCGTGCTCTAACGTTGATTCCTTCCGGACGTTCGTTTCATCTTCGATTTTCGCAAAAACTGCCCGCATTTTGTACAAATCCGTCGATTGCAGGAAAAACTAGCGTCAAAAACACGAATTTTAGTCCAAAATGCTCGGATTTACCGGAAATTCAAAGAGTCCAATTGATATCCACCATACATTTTTAAATATGGTGGAGAATATATAAAGAGTCGATATAACTCAACGGGACCAAAGGACCACTGGATAAGGCAATTGATAAGGAAAAGACGTATATAATGCACGTTTTGTGTGTGAAAAATGGTGAAATAAACCAATTCTATAATATATATTAGAAAATCGGATGCTGATATATTGTTGCATGGGATGCTAATACACCTATTTTTTTGAATGCTAATGTATATATATGACGTTGATATACATATATATATATACATTGGATCCTTATATATATAATCATATATCTATATACAGAGGGATTGAATCGAGATACAAGTATATATAATGGTTATAGCTGAAACTATTAACAAATTTATGATATGCAAAAAACGGTATAATTGGACTACTCTGCTTCATCCAATCAAGCATACAAAACCCCATATGAACTTAAGCGATATACCTTGTACTTGTCGGCGGGATCTCCCTTGAGAAACAACTTGGCGTTCTCCTGATCGAGGACTGCGCATGGGTTGTCGATCTGGATGTTGAGGTGGTCGAGCATGGCTTCCAAGTCCGCTTTGGCCTTGGACACGACGCGCCCGTCCATGTCCTTGAGGCGGTACTCGGCCGTCCCTTCTATGCGGATCAATCGCTCCACTTGAATACGCGTACCAAACTGTTCGGGGCGGAACGCGTCCGTGCCCTTTCCTATGGGCATGCACACATTGTGGATCGGAAGGGGACGACGACTAAGAGTGCATAAAGAGGACGAGATGGACGTACCGTCGTTGAGAAGGGTGATGCGAACGAGCGCGGACCGCGGCTGCTCTCCTTGATCGCTGTTGCGGATCAAGTTCTTGAGACTCTTGCCCCGATGCGTCGTGCGTGCGCTCGCCCCAAGGCAGATCTGCAGCGCGGCAATGATCGCGCTCTTCCCACTGCCGTTCTCGCCAGTGATGAAGTTGATGTTGCGACCCAATTTGACCACCATCTTGCGATGGCACATGAAGTTCTCGCAGTAGATCTCCTCGATGACTCCCATCTCCGACCTGTCCAACGACGTCTGCGATTGGGACTGCGACGACTGGGAGCTTCCAACATGCGCAAAATCATCTTCGTCGGAAGCATCTGATGGCAACACGTAGACAGAGGACGGGGAATCCCCGGCATGACGCTTCCGCGCCTTCGCAGAGTTTGCCGCCATTTCAAACGAACAAATGCGGCGGTGTTGCCGCGAATATCCGGATAATTTGAATGCAAACAGGTCACGTAATGTTAGTAAACTAATTACTTAATCGTACTATGCATAATAACACAAAGAAGACCTATGTCGGTCGCTTATTGTGAAATACCCCATGACCTTGACCAATGAATGGAATCGGCGTCTTTCCTTTCTATTAATATCCACAGTTTGTTATTTCTGCTATAGTGTACCCAATTTGAATCTGTCGAAACGTCAAAGCCAATCACAGTTGGAGAACGGGATAATTTCAGCCAATCCGATTACTTTGAGTTTTGTACAGGTATGTTAGGGTAAGATGGAGTACCTCGTACCATTAGAATCTTGTTCTCAACTTGTTGAGCAAGTTCTGGCGTCAAGGTCGTGGTGTTAGCGCAGCGAAACGGTGTATTATATGGTACCAGCCAGCTACATATGATTGGTCGGTTTTTGAATTTGCATAAATGCGGCCTTCGGATTGGACAAAATTACTCACGACACCTCATCTATGTACTTTTATGCTTGAATTTCTATCGCTTACTTTATGTTAACCAGCTCTATTTACCGAAGGATTTTGTAACGTTATTTAGACTAGCATGGATTAGTGAAAATAACCTTGAGAAGCAGGTATAGAACGAACCTGGTGATGAGAACCATCGTAATGCTCTCAATTATAGATTATTTGGTGGTGGTTATCATTGTCAAATATTAACGTTGGAACCGATCGATGGGTCGTTAAGGTGAGAGTCTCAATGCCGATATGCTTACAAAAACTGCCCCAATCAACGCACACTCAAGGACAACGGGGACATGCATTCTTTGTGTGCTGTGCACCGAGATCGAGCAAATGTCGTCCAAAGGAACTACGCGAGGCGACGGCGTAGCCGAAAGCGCCTAGAAAAGCTGCGGATGGCAGCAAGCACCGCACAAGCTGAAGCACAGCAGCAGCTTACAACCAACCTCACCAAACGGCAAGCAAAACCAAACGAAGTTACGACTGAAATGGCCAGAAATGGGATCGATCCGATCCCGTACCACAAGGAGGAAGTCGACACGACCTTGAACTCCAAACGCGAGCGGGTGTCCTTGACCAACGACGATGTCAAGCTATTCCAGGACCTCATGTACGTACGACTGACTACCTATCCAAGTACTTCTTGACGAGAAATTCATTCACGAACGTACGTTATGCTATGCGTTGTAGGTTGTAGTATTGTCAAGTTGATTCGAAATTTTGGAGTGGGGTGTTGTGCACAATCGAATGAGCAGCCTGACAATCGATCGACCAATTAAAATTAGGCCTGGATTTTGGCTTTATGTATCAAAAGTGTAACATAGAGTTAGGGCGTGTTCCAAGTAGATATTTTTATCCGATACCTACGAGTCGAGTGTACTGTACAACACGCAGCAAGGGAAAATGAGGCTACATACTGTCAATTGCCAACAACTAGTAACGTTAGTACAATATAACGCAAAAAATAGGCGCATAGTCCTGAACCATCGACCCTGTTTCTGTAATGAATGTTAAATACTGTAGGATAGATGGTGAGATTAGATCTGTGCATCCAGTTGCGCCGTAGAGGAGCACAGCAGTGAGTCTCCGCAGCAATAAAAAAGGTTGTTGGAGGCACAACCAGTTGCCCATGGTATTGGTAGTTAGCGTAGTTACGAATAAAAGTTAACGAGCTCCCCCCATGCACATGTAGGGGCTGTAGACGACTTTACTGAGCGTCACCGTGGCGGGGGGCGCTCTTAGTGTAGATATGCGTTTCAGAGTCGCGATTGTAGGCGGTCGTTCCTTGGATTGAAAGCTATCTTTGAGTGGATGCAAGAAGGGGTCGCTCCTAAAGTCGGAATTTAACGCCCTTTTACTCGTGACATGTATTTCACAGGTAGAGCCATCAACGCCATCATGTCATGGGTTCAAAGCCTGAGGAGTATCAACGTTGAGCAGCGTCGGTCGAACGAGTGGCCTTGATAGTGCTGAAGGATGGTAAATCCGTCGATTGACCAGATATCAGCAGTGAAAACAACAGAACGCTGGGTTGTCCAGACGAACGAGGTTGTTTCCCTACAGAGTCGTTCCCTGGTGAGCCTGTATTGGTTGAAATACCGATTCAAGGCGTTGGTTGAAGGAGTAAAACATGCTCCAGCCAGCCCCCTGGTTCAAAAATAATTGCTATGCATAAGGTGGATTCGATACGAATTTCCACACCCCGTCGAAGTGAATCTCGCCGCCGAATCGAATCATGAATCGACGCTATTGGCCAATCCATTTTTGAGTGGATTTGATTGGCTCTTGCAGAAAGGACAAGTATATTTAACCAATCAGAACTCCGACGTGATTCAATATTGATTAGACAACCAGGCGAATTTTGGAAGTTTATAGCGAATTCACAATAACGTTATATATATACACTGTATATCCCCGCACAATGCTCTTCGTGATCTCAATTCATCGCGCCAAAATTGTTGCGGAAGTTCCAAGACATGGTGAGACAGTCCACAGCGAAGTGGTCCTGATGGACTGGTAGTGGTGTGTGTGCACATCCAATAGTGTATACGTATACATCAAGCACTAGTACTTACAACATACTACTAGAACTAGTACTATTAATAGTACAGTAAACCAACATACTACTAGAACTAGTACTATTAATAGTACAGTATACCAGTAGGGTCGCCTTTACGAGAGTGGTTGAGTTGTGTACACATCCTTATGTCCACGTTATTCATCCATCATGATACCATATGGCTCATAGATCAAGCTTGACTGAAAGTATCAGTGCATAGAAGTCAACCGATCCCCTTCATCACGAAAGTAAAGGCCCTGCGCCGGGTCATCGGTCACCTACAGTCTGTCTGTATTGCTGTATGTTGATTTGGCCTCCCCTTTGATGTCGATTCATGCACATAAATGTATGTACTGGTACGTTGGCTTTATTTTTATACTACGTAGTACCAGTACTACATACCGTTAAGTGGCTCAATTGGCTGCCCCAATACTGTGCAATGTTCAATGTTCCCCCTCCAGTAATGTGACAATACCGTTGCAAGCGTTTCACCAACTATGGAGTCGAATTGCTCGCATTCACAGCGAATGCGAGGGAACGATATTGACATCCACATGCTACTGTGGTCAGTCGACGGGACTACATACCTAGGGTAGTAATGGACTAACTTATCACACCATACCATACCATGTGGGACAACTGGTCACCCCCCATACAGAACGGCAATACATTATGAAGTCCTTGGGTCTGCCAACCAGCCTCGGGGGCAATCAAAGCAACAAGACCAGGCCGTTGACTGTGCTTTTCACCTTTCGGGTGATGAAAGTCTGGGCTAGGGGCTGTACCGGGTCGAAGGACAGAGTTGTTTGGAGGGCTCAACCGGCCCCTTGAGTGTAGAGACATCTGGTCTCGCGTCTTTGTGGCGCGTGACATGTGTGAATTCTCGGCACCCAAAAACCTGTATTCATCGTAGAAACGAAATCCAGTCACTTTTGAATTTGCGATACTGCGACGACGATGCCAGTGGTGGTCCTGCCCCCTCTCTCAGCCCACCAGCCCCAGTATTCAACCATGGAAACTAGTACTACCGACTATGCATATACCCCTTCGCCCCGACGATGCGCCGTCCTCGGCTGCCTCCACTATGCCAAACTTCACGCCGTGTGTCTCGTGCATCACCGCCAGCCTCCCCCCCAGTCCGGCTCTTCTCCCACCAACGCCCCCAAGCGCCGCAACAAAAAGTGCCAGTCCCACCGATGCGAGTCGTTTGCCCGGTCCGGTGGCTTCTGCACCCGACACGGCGGAGGTCGAAAGTGCAAAGTCGCCGGCTGCACGACGGCGTCCCAAACTGGGGGCCATTGCCGGCTGCATGGAGGGGGGTCCAAGTGCAAAATCGACAAGTGCGACCAGTTTGCCCGAACTCGCGGAATGTGTTTGCCTCACAGCCGAGCCGAGTAACCTGTGGGCCGAGTATTTAAAGTTGGAAATGGATGTATTTTAGTGAATTCATTACATGATGGGCCGAATCCTTCGATTCATGCACATACAGAGGGGGGGAATCTTTACTGTTAAATCGAATTTTTATTATCGAGGAGATGAACATAAGGACTAGATTATAGCCCCGATAAGATCAATGTACCCAAGCTCATTAACTATCGAATTGGTATCTCGACATTTAACCACTGGACGTCCTAGATGAAAAAAGCCCCCCTTGCAAACCCCTAGTCCATCACTCCAAGAGAGCAACTACGAAGTAAAAGTAAAGGCACGGCGTGGTGATATCCGAGTTTAGAGGTCATTATCAACGCTTACTGGAAGTCAGTTTGCCGTAAATTATTGGCTCAACTCAAGATCACATCCCCCTCAGTGTATGGCGTCGCAAAGACATTCTACTGTTTCCAATTTCTACTGCGTACGTAGTAGAGTAACCTACTGTATACTACATGAACCCATTATTTTTGTTGCACCTATCGGTTCAGTGAGATCAGTGGTGTCGATATGCAAGGGGGGATAGGTCACCGATATTATTGGACCTGCAGGAATAATTCTCTGAGAACAACAGCTCCATTGTTGCTTACGTAAACATCTCCCTTCAATACAACCAGTAGCCCTGTAACCTCGGTACCCTGGACCCCTTGTGTTGCTATTCCCGGGGTTAAGTTGCATCGCCAGTGGTTAGCCATCGCGAACCACTGAAATGCACTTACAGTAGTAATCCCTGGCTGAAATGTGATGTTTGGATTACACTGCGTTTGACTATGCCATAATACGAACAAGTGAAATGGTTACCAAAGCAACAGTCGAACTGTTGCTCGCAGGGAATTACTGTACAGTTAGCCTTTCGTGTTCATTTTGGGGTGAATAATTCCCTCATTAAAACAATTCCACTGTTGTTTTGACCCGAAATACTATTTCAACGAGGGAACTATTCCATCTGGATAAATCTTTTCGCCAGTGGCCCTGTAACCTGGGACTCCGTCCTACCCCCGGTGATTACATGTGGTGCTAAATATCCGGGGTTAACTGCATCGCTAGTGGTTAGCTATCGCTAACCACTGAGATGCACTTAACCCCTAGTAAGAGGTGAGGTGGTCTGATCATACAAAGTTCCATATAAACCTGATTGAAACAGTATTTCGGGTCAAAACAACAGTGGAACTGTTTTAATGAGGGAATTGTACTATTGGGGTGGGATGGGTGGTACATGTGCCAGTGACGGTGGTACTCGGAAGCAACCTACCACCATGCGGTCAACAATCGATGCGCTCGGTTAATTGAGTTTGGATTATCATTTTTAAGACATTCCTTGATGCGCTCGGATTGTAAGTAACCCGTTCACAATATTGTGCTGCTCTCCAAATTACTATCAGTACTACAGTCAGTACTACTGTAGTATTAACAGTAAATACTAGTACATGTACGTAGTAACAAGTCCAAGAGTCCTGATGTATTCAACTAACGCAGTGGATGGGGCACGCGTTGCTCTCCTTGTGATGCAAGTTTCTTCAAGAGATCATCAAACTGATACTAGTACTTCCTGTTAGCCCTGGCCGGGGAAAGTTTTCGTCCATGTCAATGCCTTGCAAACATTGACAAATTAGTTTTGATTGGATAGAATTATCCGGTAACCGGATGTTGTTCATGCTCAACTTGGCTTGAGAAGCGGAGACGAGTCGTTCACGCTCGTTCATGTTTCACAATGTCAGTCAGAAGAAACGCAAAATCGTTAATATTGTTCACTCAATTACAACACTTAATATAAAATTCGTGCAATGGCAGTGCGCTTCGTCAAAGCCATCTTGCGGAGGAATGGGTTTGTGTCCGACTCCAACTGATCAAACGGCTGAACTTGATCGTTGCAGTCACGACGGCGATTTGGAATTGCAAACAAACCTTCGTTGTAGTACAAGAACATGTTATGGATGAATAATTCGAAAGGTCCGACCAATGTCATTGTTTGTATAGCCAATCATAAATCATTAATTTTGAACTAGCCAATTATACGTATTCATCATATAAATTCTGTCCAATAGTATCGGTTTATGATACACCATCTTCAAGTGGAGGTGACATATGCGTTAGTGGTCGGACCTTTCAAAAGTTATGCAAAATGAGCATACAAAAATGAAGGTCAACGCATAATTGAAACATAATACTTCGAAGTAATATACAGACACGACATTCAAAACGACAAATTTCAGCCATTTGGTTGGCCAACCGACAATTTCTCACGATGTGGTTGGTCAAGGAGAACTCTCGCCCAATGATTGGGCGGTGTAAGTGTCCAGGCGACAAGATTGAGCAAACATTTAACGTGATCGATCAGTGATGGGCCGATTTCTTTTGTCCAATAGTCTTACAAATAAATTCTGATTGGATGAAATATAAACTCTTAATGCAAATTACCTTGTAAAACATAATGGTGGGAAAAGAATTATATTTCAAAGGTTTACTCATTTGAATTTCAAGAAAATCCCGCAAACGGCGCCAGGGAGGAAAATTGAGAAATGAGAAACTTTTATTGGTATCACTCGTTGACAAGGAAAACCAACCATTCAGGCACAGCATAACCAGCCAAGTTTTTTTTCCTGCGCCCGTACTCTGTGAGGAGAATTGATGGCTTGGAGCATCCCGTACGGTTGGTGTGAGTTTCATCCGTTCGAAGATTGGTTGACACGATTCTTCAAAATCTTATTCCTGTCGAGATATGATATTCCTTTATCAATGTATAATTTTCAGGTTGCTGGTCATGGTTTACCACAACCCTATTCAATAATTAAATCAAGTATAAAATTCGGCCCATCACTGGGACTCAATGGAAATTCTGTAACTTTGAAATTTATTTCTGCGAACATGAACTGTCTAAACCGATTGCGTTTAGGTGTACCTGATAGTGCTTGACGCAGCCGTTCAGAATATGTCATGGTCATACTTGTAACACAAATACCCGCGGAGGAATTCATCAACGAAAATCGAAAAATTTCGGCCCATCACTGGTCGATCACGTTAACATGTACAGCATTCTATTGGACAAAATCGAACTAAATCTTGAAACGACCAAAGCGGTGTCACGAAACCACCATTTCCGCCCGAGCAGGCGAAGCATGGACGAGTTGCCGACGAAGGAGACGATTCAAGCCTCCTTTCATAGTGCATCAACTAAGCGCACGTATGGCACATACCAGCGGCAATTCGAAACATTCTTTCGCTCTGCCAACCCAGACAAAGTGCCCTTGCAAGCAACCACAAACGACTGCACTGATTTCCTGCAGCACCTGTACGACGTCGCCCTTGGTGACTTGCTTGGTGGCCAATTTGTTTCCGTTCGTCTGCGCTGGCACAAAAAAGCGAGTGTCGAAAAGGAGTACCAAGTGTATAACCTGGTGGACGAGCGAGCGTATCCGTGCCTCCGTGTGTATGGTTTCTACAACGAGTATGTGAATGCCGTTGGAGCGACATTGATGAATGTCACCAAGGACGCGTTTGTGTTTCCACAAGTCACGTGTGTGATCAATGGCAGCGTAAAGATCAACTGGGCTAAAGCCATGGAACAGAATTTTCTGCGGAAACAAATCAACGATCTCGTTGAAAGCACCCCTTCGCTGTCGGTCAACATCTCTTTCCACAGCATGCGTCGTGGTGGGTGTTTCTACCGTGTGTTTGAGTCCCTGGACCGGAAGTTTAACTTCCGCGAATTGATGGCCTGGTGTCGTTGGGAAGACACCAAAATGTGCTGCGAATATTTGGTAACGAAAAGTGTCAGTGACGCCATCGACCCCCGACATCTACTGCAGACGCGCCACCGAGAGCCGCACGGTGTCAACGTGGAACCAACCAACGTGGCGGAAATTGTAGATCAAATTGCTCAATATGTATTGACTCATCTGCAGGGCGATCGAACGAGCAGTGTCCTCAGCTCGTCGCCAGCTACTCCCAGTGAGCTGTCCGCGATTGTCAACAAACAGCCTCCATTGGCTCAGCGCTCGATGCAGGACTTTGTTGTGCCAAAGATAATTCCAACTGCTCGGTCGGCGAAAGATGCGTGGGAGCAGTGGTTCTCCGTCGATCACAAAAATGGCCGCCCCTGTGCCCTCAAAGACTACACGAAATCAATGATCAAGTCGGACCGCAAAAAGTATTCCGAACGGCAAACGATCGCGACAGCATTCAACAAGTATCAGTCGTATTCACACTTCGAACAAGCGTACGCGGGATACACGAACACATACTCCAATCTGCTTCATGAAGTTCGCAAGCGTAAACGAGAAAACACACTATAACGAATTGTATATATGAATTTATACCTCGACTGTGCCTAATATGTGAATCGTTGTGTGCATGTACGGACTTGTGTGCGCGGGAGCTCGTCATGGCTGCAGCTTGTCCTTGGTCGTTGGTTGAAGCCTTGGTGGCTTGGTGCAACAATTTGATCAACTACACACAGAGAACATTGAGTGTCCAATTGTCATGCAAGTACGAGTACATCGTGTTGAGGATGGGCGCTTTGATGCCGGCCATGCGGCCTGAGGGAATTGTCGCCTTCGTTCGGTTATCCTACGATGCGAATGAATAGTGCAGGAATGATACATGGCGTACATGGTGGTGGGGAGCTGGCCCTTGTGATTGCTCGTGTCGTGCACTCGCTGGTGTCGCGGAGTCATCGTACATTTCCACCTACACACTCGATCACGTCCACGTCAGTCGGATTGGAAAGATACGGGGAATGTCTATGAGCTCACTGAGTCCTGGGTGCTTGAGGGCTCTTGAAGTGTCGGCGGCCGCGGCCTCGGGTGCCTTCGGGTGGCGCACCGTCTTGTGGTCTGCGATGGAAAGTATGATCTGCGCACTCCAGATCTTGAGCCAATTGCTCATCTACAAAATCAAAGAATAATGTCCAATGAGAATCGTGTCGGATGAATTTGTCGTGTTTCCCAGATTACCTATACATAATCAGGCAACCTCCGACTGAGCCCATAATTGGTCAATAATATAGCAACTCCGATTCATACCAAGTATGGACGCGCTGCGACCAAGGTCAACGGTGAATGCCAGAGCTTCGGGTATCAAGTCCCTCGAGTCCGAGAGAGTGGAAGAGAACCATGCGAAGGATTGCATCCGATAGGATACAACAGGCCAATGTTTTGCCTCGGTCATGGAGAAGTTTGCTATGTTCCTTGCTGCATGTGAAAAGTCAACCGGGGTGCCGCTACAGTGCTGGAAAAAACATTAGCACATGAGGTATTTTTTTGTTTACTCAATCTGCACGAACATCTAGCTCTCAAGAATCATTCACAACACTTAAAATGACATTACACTGCAATTGTAGTCAATCTCGAAGTCGTACAAACTAAAAAAATTCCATTAATCGACAAAATTGATATTTGCACCTGGAAGAAAGAATAGCACAACGATGTAAAATGTATTGCTACGAAATCAAAAACTTCAATCGAGTTGAACTAATACTTGGTCATGCCCCCACCCATCGCAATGACACTCGTGCACCGCCGTGGCATCGAATCCACCAAGTTTTTTATCGTGAAATCGTCGATTTCAGCCCACGCACGCTTGATCGCAACCTTGAGGTCCATTACGTTGTCATATTGCTTGCCATTGCTGTAAACGATACGTACAATCCGTCCCCAGAGATTCTCAATCGGATTGAGATCAGGGGACAGTGCAGGGTTCTCGAAAACCGTGGCTTTATGCTCCTTCAAAAATTCCATTGTGGTCTTCGCAAGATGGATGGAGGCGTTATCTTGTTGAAACAAGATCTCGTCGGCGTAGAATTGATGACCAAAGGGCATCAGGTAGTCTTGCAACGTCCAGAAGTATTTGTCGGCGTCTTGATTGCCTTCCAGGAACGTAGCTCGCTTACACCGGACGACGAAAACGCCCCCCAAATCATCAAACTTTTGCCACCAAACTTGCGAGACATGTACGTCTCGTGGTCGTGCCGCAAGTTTCTCCAGTAGCACTGAAGTCCATCTGGCCCGTCGAGATTGAATTTCTTCTCGTCGGACCAAATGATCTTGTCCCATTCGGGTGGTTTGTGGAGGTGCTCCAATGCGAAATTCAGCCTCACATTCTTGTGCTTCTCAGTGAGCGCTGGCGCCGAGTTGCGCTTGACATACTTGAAAATCGTGTTGGAGGACAACTTGTATCGTACGGCACGAGAGGTGATGGGTAGGTCCAATTGAGCAACGATTTTGGACGACGACAAACCCGTTTTCGAGACCTCGCGGAACATGAGTCGAAGGGTGGTATCGCTGAGTTTAGGAGGCCTTCCGCCTTTAAAGCGTTTTCCATAGGCTTGGGGGTCCTTCAGGTAGTTGGCAATGGCCTTGCACGACTTCCCCAAGCTCTTGGGACATGAACAGTACAGATTTTCCGCTGGCCTTCCAGACTGAAATTTGGCCGCGCTGATACTCGTCGAGTTGCAATCCTCGGCCCATGCTGTTTAGGTGTGGTGGGGTGTCGATGGTTGTTTGATTTGTGTTTAAAATTGCAGGTTGCTAGGCTGAGAACTGTTCAAGTTGCATGCAGTTAAGGGAGAGTCGGCTATTCTTATTTCCATCCCGTGTTTTCGTAGCCACGTCATAAAAACCTCTAGCGTCCTCGGTTGGACTTGTAGTGCGTTTTATAGCTGTGCCCAATCATAACAGTTCGACTGGTATGGTTTTGTATTAACAAAAATAGCTTTTTCGCGCGGTAGCTCGAAAAAACACACATGTGCTAACGTTTTTTCCAGCACTGTATCAAAGAACTCATGCATCCAGTACTTCCAACAAGCGAAGATGAGACTACTCGACGAGTTCACCCACCTACAACCTGTTGTCGACTCCAAGCTACTCCGAGTGGGCAAGATACTACAGAACGTTTGCGCCAAGAAAGACGGCGGGGTGGTAGTGAACCAGGCAGCTGCGTGCACCAAGGACTACTTAAAGCGAATGCTTATGTATATCTATAAGAGCGCGACCTCATGCAGCGACTATCAAGACGCATCCCTGTTGGCCTTGTTGTGGTATCTGCTTGGACGGGCATCCGACTTGGCAATGGTGCGGAAGAACAACGTGTCCATTGATGCTGGCAGTGTGTTTTTCCTACGATTCGTACGCGTTAAGACGAGCGAGGAACAGGGACTCTCGATATTCCCGGATAATGACTTCCTTACGTGTCCGTTGCTGGCGATGGCGTTGGCAACCATTTGTCAAGGCGGGTCATGTGCAAACGTCATCGACAACTTACCAACTCAGTCTTCATCCTCAGCTTCGAGCCTTGGCCCAACAACTGCATTGATCGAGGTTCTACAGAATCCTGGCGTTATTGAGTTCGACAAGGAAGAGTCAAGGACCAAGAGCTCACCTACTATTCACTGCCATGTCAATCAAATTCTTGGACGTATCGGTGGACCCTCTGGCGTTGATCAGAAGCTGTCATCACATTCCTTTCGTCACGGGGGGGCACAGCATGCCAATGGCTCGGAGCACTTGACGGCAAGTTTGATCTTCGATCGTGGGGCGTGGAATATTTCGGCCACTAACAAGGGCTTCAACTACATATTTAACACGTCAAGCGAAGATCACAAGGTCGCCAAGCACCTCAGCGGTTGGACGACTTCCGATCCTGTCCCTCTTTTTTCCCTGGGTATTTTCGACGCCCAAAGTCGAGATCGTATTCGCGACGTCCAAACCCACCTTTTCGCGGCGTGTTCTGGCCTCGATGGACCTACGCTCAATCTCAACCGACGTGTGGTGGACACACTGACTGTTTACCTGTTTCGTAACTACCCCCGTTTGAAGGAGACCAATGCGCATGGGCCTGCTGTACTTCGCCTGGAAGCGTGCATGCGGCTTGCGGCTTGCTGCGAGATCGACCTGCTGGCGTGGTCATCGCACTTGACGACAGCCCCAACGATCCAACAATCGCCCGAGAGGCTGCAACAACACCCGACATCGACGTCAGAGACCGCCGAACAAGGCCTCATTCGTCACCAGGCAGCCTCAGGGCGGCGCCAAGAAGAACGGCTCCAAGTCCAAAGTTGGAAGGTCGCGGCGACTACAAGAAACGAGAATCCGTGAGCCACAAAACCACCGACACGATCCCCGCCACGAAGAAACACCGTCAAAGCTCTTTGAAGTCGCTACGAACAACGTGGTTCGAATGGTATGGGCTTGAACCTCGTCTACATGCTACTAGCAACGCACCAAAACAGAAGAAATATGTTGCTCGACATCTGGTCGCGTACATGTAGCTTTTCTTACCAAACGGGATTTATCTTGGATGAAGCACGCCCAAACTACCGAGATGATGTCATTGCGCTTGGTGCCAGCGCGGAAGCTGGTCTCTTGGACTTCCTACGTGATCACGACGTACGGTCAAGTGGATCGAACATGGTGTTGAAGGAACTACAAAGGTTGCATCGATCTGGTGTGCTCAATGCAAAGATCATGCATTACCGCTAACTTCGTGTGTCTTGCTTGACTTTGGATCCTGCGCCGCCACACACACACGACATTGTAGACATCGAGACAAACATAATGTCAGTGTAATCGAATATATATATATATATATACGTCGGCATAAGTACAAGAATATATCGACGTACAGTACCTGGCTTGGACATGCTGCAGCGAGTCGTGCACGACATCGACGACGTGGGTGCTGCTTGTATGGATCCCATGATGTGCTGGAGAGTTGCACCACGCAGCGGCACATGCGCGGGACATGTGGCCCACGAGCGACCAAATCCCGTGGACCACGGCGGCTGCAAGCGGCGGCTCGGACAACACGTTGATGCTACGACATGACTATCGAGATGAGTAATAATACATATAGCATACATGCATGCACACACATACATACCTGCGGCATGATTACCCCGTCGGGAACCCCATGTTGCCCCACCATGGCAAAACAGAAGAGTCATCACAGGACGACCGAACACCCCAATGAACGCACCGTCCCCTTGTGCCAACGACTGTGCCGCGATGAATCCAAGACGGCGATACTAATCACTCCATCATGTGGCAGGGCCAGTACATCCTCTGGGCTGCGCAGCCATCCCGCTCCGAGCAATTCTGGTCACTTCCAACCTCTCGAAAGTGTTTCCGGCTCATAGATTATATTGGTGGATTAGTTTTGGTTATCCAGTATTTTCTGGCTCGTGTATTTGTTACCAGAAAAATATTCATAAATGACCATTCGACGGTCGGACCTTTGATGCTATGGAGCACAAAGCACGCAGTCACGACGGTTGTGGTTTGATCAAGCGACTTGTTCGTTCATCACCGTATTCAAAAATCGAAATCTTTCCTTGACTCGTCCAAATGCACATTCAACCGACATTCGAGCGCTGCAATGTTTGTATTTGAAATTCTTTTGTAATTTAGATAAATTACTGTGCTCCTCGTGAGCCATGAATGGTGTGATAAGCCATGGCAGCAAGGTGTACCCGGCGTTGTCAAGGAGGAAAAAAACCCTTCGGTATTTTCCAACTAATGAAATGGCCGAACGATGATGTTTTCCAGATTGTTTTGTCAGAGTAGGAGCCTGGGCGAATGTCGACCGACATAAAACGCGTCTTGGCGTCAACCACTGCCTGGAAGTTGAGGGATGGGTCTTTGTTGCGATTATAAAACCCATCGTAGTCCTTGGGGCGTTGAATTTCGATGAGGGTGCATTCGACAGCGCCAAACACACCAGGTGTTTTTTGTTTGGCAAACAATACCTGCCCAACATCGCTCCACTCCGTGGGGGTTCTTGGTAGACTGATCCACGTTGCTACGCTTGACGTCAGGGGCTCTCACTAACACGCTGACGACATCGACACACAACACGACTTGGACATTCCAAACGCAGCGGCCGTTTCACTTTAACCTCCATCGGATCTGAGAAAGTACAACACAACTGCCACCTTCTTTTCGAACGAGTGTTGGGAAAGCCGACGGTAGCGTTCAGGTAGTTCGTGACGAAGCCAATCGACGAGCCGACCGAACGTAGCTTGGCTGCATTGCAGATTGGCGTTGAACCATTTTTCGTACTGAGGGTGTCCGATTATTGAGTCAAAATCGACTTTTGTAACGGTGAGTATATTGAACTTGTCACACGGACGTCTATGGAGGATGGTGGCTAATCCGATGCATACGGCGGAAATGGTGCATGCAATTGTAACAACGGCGGCCTGAGTTGGATTCATCCTGATGGGGGCAGCGACAAAACTGATTTCCTTCACCGACAACAAGGTTGCTTATGCATCCGAAATTTTTTTAACCGGGTAGACATGAACGGACGGAAACATGGACGAAATTATTCCCCGACCGGCTTAATCTTATAGTATTTGAAACTATTGTGCTTTTCACTCGTTTTGGCTATTCACACCATAAACCTGGGTACTTGTTACTTCGACCCCAGTGTTTTAGATAATCCGTACAGTGATTTATATGCATAGATAAAATGGCCGCTGCGACAAATTTATCCGACAACTATCATATTGGTTAAAAGTAGACGCCTATTGGCTTTCATTGGCAGATGTCTCTTCCATGCCAATACAACGACCAAGTAAAGTATCTTGGTTTTTTCGAATGTATCGACGTACAGAGTCCTGTTTGTTGGCGGGGGCTAAAAGTACACTGTACACGTACTATTATACTTCGAAGTAGTACGTTCACTGTTACGTGGAGGATCTTGGTTACTTTGCGCAACACAAGCCACTCATCAGGCATGCTTACCTCGTTCCTTGCTCGTCAACGACACCGAAGTACAGTTTACACTCCGTGGACATCGTAGCGAGCGTGACCATGCACTGTAAAGAACCCTACCGCTGGAGTACATGTGCACTTCTAGATTTACATTGATAACTCACTGGTGCACGAGTTGTTTGCCACCATAGAATATGTAAATTTGTGAGCTCGTAATTACTTCTCATCGTCTCAGTCGACTCTGTGATGAGTGTTTTGTGATACCTGTGAGGTCGCTCGCACCAATATAAGTGATCTTAGTTGTTGTAGTATTGAAAATATGATTATTTAGTGTTGTGGTGGAAGGGGGCAGTTATTGAAGGGAGGTCACAGTTAGTGTTATAGCATCCCCACTGTGCAGATGCTAGCAGTGGGGATGCTTGTAACAACTGTGTGCTAACAAGTACGGTGTGTCACGTTGCGAAAGTAAGTGGGTATGCAGAGCTGGAGAACGTGGTTAGTGTCGTTTGTTGAATGAGGGGCAATTGGAATCACTACTGGAGGTAAGGTGGTGTTGGCGTAGCTACAGTAATGTTCAATCAGGACTTACCTAAAGCGCAACCATTACTCTTTGCCGCATTCGTACGTTTTAAAAGTCGCAAACGTTATTGTGTGGAATGGGCTACAAAAGGGATCCCACCATTGGTCCCCATGCATCATGGTGGGGCGCCGCCACCGACCACAACAGTACTCCTGCTGGTTCGTGCCGTTTTACTTTTGCTGATCGACACCGTTTCGTGTGCAATGTCGGCTCGGCAGTATTTCAACCAATAGAAAGCCGTACATGTTAAATGTTAGTGATATTTTGCTGCTGCGACAACCGCCTCGTCCAATCGGATTGTCGCAAAAAATACTGACCAATTCGAATTCAATCATTTGTCGGTCATCCAATCACGGGGCCGAATTTTGTCGGTTTTGTGTCGGTTTTGTGTCGGTTGTGTCGTGTCTGTACTATATGTTAGGATCACGTTTCGTTACAGAATGTAATTATAGGGAGGTCATTTATGCAACTCCCTCACTTTTGCACATTTGAAAACTGCAAATCGAAGTTATATCTGCTATTCTCGGGACCAAGTTGCACAATTCACTGGTCCTCATGAACAACTTTTGATGTTGCAAATGAAACATTGCGCCGGTGTTCTACCGTACGTACAATTCCCTCCTTACAACAGTGCCACGAAAGCACTGCAATTTGCGTGTTGTTTAGGCTTTGCGCACTCGGACTATCTCACCACTTATTACCGTAGGGGTTTCGGGCCTCAGCGGTAGGTGGTGATGTAGTTACCAGAGATGATTTAGCATTATAAGTACTCATTGGGTAGGATGGAATCAGGTTTCAGGGCTAAGCTTAGGGCCTGGGGGGAACGTCGACTCCACGCTTGTCAACGCTTTGGCACTGAATACAGTGTATATTTTTCAGTGTAGTAAATATTATTGGTTGAAATCAAATTTCAGTATTGACGAATCAAAATACTTGATTGAGGTGTCGGTGTCGATGAGTGTCTTGAAAGTGTCAAGACACACATCGACACTTCAATCACCTCAATGGCCAATGCCCACCTCGTGCCATGCTGGATGTCTCAGCCACTTGTGTTGCTGTGGCGACCCTGTCCGATCAAGTCAAATACAACGTACTCACCATAACCAACGTGGTTTTCGACTGCATGCTGGGACTCCCCCTGTACGAGCAATGGTTCCTTGCTAATCTGCGTTGTGATCAGGCCACATTTAAATTTTTGAAATTGCGTTGCTTTGTTGAGTAATTGCAGCGAATTGGGCGCTGAGTGCATCAACAACATCAGCTAGGGTAGCAATAGGATTTGCGACGGTCGAAATCGTGTGTCCATTGCTCTGTAACATGGCCTGACCCAATAATACGAGCCCATCCTTGACGGCGACAAGTCCAACGTCTAACGTGTCAGCTTGGGACTTGGGTTGTCTTGAAACCACTGTCTTCATGTCATCACCGTCCGACGATTCCACCGAAACTAGTTGATCTATTTCGGTAGCAACTAAGAGACATTATTACCTCAAGTTTGTTAGTGATTTCCGGAGCATTTATTAATAAAGAAATACCGTCGTCGGTCGAAAATAATGATTCCCGACGAAGTCCATCTTTGGAACCCCAAAATTGCATCATGCACTCAAAATGCGTAGGAACTTGAGCAGCAAATTCGTTGCCGGTCGGCGACGACACCGACTGCTTTGCCCACTCTGACCGCAATTTCGTGAACTGCGAACCCAGAAAGTTAATTACTCGAATAAGTATGAATAACTACCTTGTCCTTAACTTGTTTCGACGTAAAGCAACGATTCATATCGACACTGAGCTCGGAGGCAAGCATCTCGTACGCCTCACGTTTTTGGCTGTTGTTCTTTGAATTGAAGCGGCCAGCCAAGTCAGACTTGTAGCGAAGTCTGAAGAGACGAGCGACACTGTCATCGCACCACCACGCTGATGGCTTGGCTTCTTCTTGGCCGATCGTGGCTGCCTGGACGATCCCACGACACTGCTTGGTTGCTGCTTGCGTTTCTTGCTTGGTGTAATCTCTACATAGTGATCTGAATGCTAGGTATCATCAATGGTGATACCTTTATCATCAAGCTAAGTCAATGTCGGTTGTAGTTTATCGTCGTCCATGGCTTGGCGCTCACTGTCTATTTGTTTGGTCGACCAGTTGAATATTTCGAGGCTGTGTTGGGCATGCATTGGTGTCGATGGTTCATCGACGCCAATGCTGGCCACGATTGACGCATAAATATGATTGGGTACTGATATTACTATTATATCCAATCATTTTGCAGCTACGAATATGTGTCCCACTGTATTCGCTGTTCTGTCGTCGAGAAGCGTGGAGACGATGTTCCCCGATCAGGGCCTTAGAGCCTGGTCTGTGTTTTGTTCCAGCTTTTGGGCATTCCAGCTTTTACGAAATCAATTTCATTGGCTAGAATGATTCGTAATCCGTATATTGAGCCAGCTTTTCGTTTGGTCAAAAGCTTGGATTCATCATCCCAGCTTCGTACCAGTTATTCCAGCTTTTGCAATCTGGTTTGCAATCCACAGCAGCTATGTCTGACGATCAAGACACTACAGTGCCGGAAGCGCAGCCATGTTAGATGCGCCGACACCGAACGCGAAGCCAAACAAGCGCAAGGGTAAGTCGCCGTCAAACGATCAGTGCGGTGGGACGACGAAAGTGTGGCGGAACTCTTTCGCCTGCGCTACAAGTCGCATTTTACGTCAAGGGTCGACTCCAAAAACAGCGCGGAAAAGAAGACCGCGTACGTGATGCTGGCGTCGGAGATCAACGTGTCGATGGAAAAGGACTTCTCTGTGGCGCAGGTCCAAGACAAGGTAAGAAATCATACATTGATTGTTTAACTCACATGTATTAGTTCGGCAAATTGAAGACATCGTGGTCGTTGACGAATCCCTCGAACCCGAGCGAAACAGAGAACGCTCCTTGGGCACCGTTGCCTCCGCATTGCGACGTAATGATGGAGTACTGGAGCTCAATAAAAGGATTTTAGAGTGAATTGCTGATGTCCACTGATGCGATATTCGACGACGGCAACAATTCCTCGGACAGTAGAAATAATGTTCTAATATATGTGATTATTCGAAACATTGTTGACTTGTTAAAATATTTGTTGCATAGATATCATATTAAAGCGCGAGCACAGTTCGGACACCGATTTCGACAGCAACAAGCCACGGGAACGTCGGAAGAAGCGCGCAAAAGTCTCGAAAGCGAGGCTTTGGAAGATGGGTTCTTAGCTATAAAGGAAGGCTTGATGCAATTGAGAACATCACTTTCAGGTGCGCCACCAATCCCGCCGCCCCAGCTTGCCCCCTGGGGCTACACTAGATGATATATTGCGTGCAATTCAGGGACAATCCGACACCATGGCGCAGCTCGTCGCTCATTTGTTGCGCGCAAGCAAAGTGCTAATGAATGTCAAATTGATTGCACAATATTATTTTTGTTAACTCAAATATTATCAATTCCACGACGTTTCAACTCTGCAGCTCGACGAATGAGAGGATAGTTTCCGTTTCCGTTGATCAGCAGGTTGAAAGTACAAGTTTCTATCACGCTGGGGTACGGCGCAGAAAAGAGTCTCTCATTGAAATGAATCTACATATTGTGCACTACAAAACAACACCTAGTGACCGCAACAGATTGGTTAAGAGATTTTTCGTTCATCACGGTTTTCAGAATTCGAAATCGCTCTTTCAATCGGCCAAATGCACATTCAACTATCATTTGAGTGCTCGACAATCTATAATTGAATTGTTTTTGCACTTTTATCAACACTCCACCTTCCTCACGCGGCAGGTATGGGGTCAACAGCCAAGGGAGTAACGTGTATCCAGAATCACCAAGTAGGAAACATCCAATAGGCAAAACACTTTGTCGAATACGCTGGCCAACAAATGATACTTTCCAAATCTTTTTATCGGAAAATGAACCGGGTCGAATATCCACAGACATAAATACCATTCTCGAATCAGGAATTGCTTGTACGTTTAGGACGGATCACCATTTCGATGTAAAAACCATAGTATTCATTTGTTCGCTGAATATCAATCAGGGTGCCATCAACAGCTCCAACACCGGTAACTTTTGCGCCTTATAGAAGCCTCGCTCAATACGATACCATGCACTAGAGTCAATGGGGAAATGAATCCACTTGTTAGCATTTAAGGATACCACCCGAACGAATGACGAAAAAATACTAATAGATCAAGACGTAGACATGCCAAATGCAGCCGAGGTTTCACGGTAACCACCATCGGAACCCAAAAAGAATAGAAATAGAGTAACCTTCTTTTCAAACGAGTGCACTGAACGACGCATAGAGTATTTTGGCATGCGTTGGCGAAGCCACACAACTATCTTACAGAACGCTTGCTGGTCACAGCGAAGGTTGTCACAAAACCATTGATTGTATCGAGGGTCACCAATCATTTCATCAAAGTTCACATTCGTAATCGTCAGTACGTTGTACTTATTTGCCGTCGAGCTAGGCTCGTATATGCACACGGCGCATACAACAGCTGCAACAACACATTTCAATCGATCCATTGCACTTGCAACAATTCAAAAGCTGGAATGCCAAAGGCTGGAATGGTTGAGGGCACAATCCGAATAAACTTTATCCGTAAAAGCTGGAACAAAACGTTCACAGACCAGGCTACTAGTAAAAGTGTTTCCGGATGCGATTAGATGATTCTCTCAATGAATCCGTATTACTGTAGTACGGGTCAAAACAACTATGGTACTGTAACAATGAGAGAATTATTCGTCGTTTATAGGAATCGAAAATCAATTATGATAAGGCAAGTCGATTTGGAGTATACGTACGGGCATAGATCCGTGCCACAAACGTCATTGGTGAATTTAAACCAATCATTCACAAAATATGACATCTGCAATATCATACACCACTCTAACAACTAATAATTGATGACTTAGGCGTTCGCGCGCATATAGTAAGTTTTCCAGGGAAACAACAATTTCCCATGTGTGCCAAGCACTTCATTTCCAAATCGTCGCTGCCGCGGCCATGGAGGCAGTGCGAGCGCGTAGGAGCACGGGCGACGTCGTTGAAGCTCTCTACGCCAACCTCCCCAAGGTGCTTGCCGACAACCACTTCGACCCCGACTGCATTTGGAATCTCGACGAGTCTGGGACGTGCGCCCAAAAGGTCGCGCAGCAAGACGAATGTGTTGGCGTCCAAGCGAATGGTGGCCAATGCACAAAAGGCCGACAGCCGACAGAACGTCTATGTGCTGGTGTGTGTGAATGCTGGTGGTGGTCATGTCCCTCCGTTCTTCATTCTGCCGGGTTCGAATTTATGCAAGCGTATGACCCAATGTGGCTTGCCTGGCTCCAACTTTGCGGCCACCAAGTCGTCCTTCCTGTCGATGATGCTGTTCATTCAGTTCTTCGAGTGGTTCGTGAAGAAAATTGGGCCTAAGCGACCGGTGCTGGTGTTTATGGATACAAGGCTCATTGGTCCGCCAGGACGATTGAGTATGCTCGGTCCAAGGGCATCCACCTGTACGCCTTCCCATCGCATACATCGCAATTTCTCTAGCCTCTGGAAGTCGCTGTGTTTGCTCAATTCAAACGGTTACTGGACGTCGAGTTGGCCAACTTTCAACTTGTTCATTCACGCTTTGCAACGACAATATGACATGGTTGGTCTTGCATCCAACGGCCTCACCAGGACTTACATTGTCAGTGGGTTCGAGAAGGCGGGTATTTCCTTGTTGTCTCGTGACATCATGATGGCCAAGATTGTAAGGGACAAGGCTGGTTTGAAGGCGACAGCGGTCATTCAAGCAACGGTGCGTCCCGAAAACCGGGTTGTCATGCACTTACGCGAGTTGGGGATTGACATCGACTCTGCCCATGTTTTTTGCATCAACGACGCTATGGTTCAAGCGTTTACCAACAGAGCCAGCACCCCCAAAGGTGATATGACTGGATTCATGGTAGCTTGCTCACAACTCCCGACGACATTGCACTGCACAGAAGAGAGTCATTGCAGCGAAAACGAAGAAGGCGTTGGATGAACGACGTCGTGAGGCGTCAGAGCGCAAGTTGGTGTCGTTGGAAGATTCAAACAAGCCCGTTCGTCGCAAGAGGCCACGCGCACCCGATGGTGTTGAAATTTTTGTTGTGTAGTTGTCCGGATATTCCAATGAATGCTGTGCAACACAGGAAAAGATTTTGGATATAGTGGCGCGGATTTGATTTCAGCCAATCGAGATTTTTAATATTCACACCCGAATAACTATTGATGTGAATTAGAGCTAAAATCGATGCAGTCCGAAAAGAAATTATAGACGCACCCTAAATTTTTCCAGTTTGAAAGGAGTACCGTTCTATTTTGTGGATCACTATCTCTCAGTTCACTTGCAACTGTTACAAAACTTGGACTGCAAAAGGACTTGGACACAGTCTCAATCATTCTGAAGAAATCTACAATTTGTGGTCCGGGTGCCCTGGGTACTCTGGATGCCCTGTTCAATAAAACGACTGAAAAGAAATTATAGACGCATTTTTTGATTCGATCAAATATTGCCAATTTAAAGCCAATCAGAGGTCTCAATCATAATCAAATTGCTTACGTACACTGGTGTTACACACCCATATCATCAGCAACAGTAAAACCATTCATTCACCATGCCGCGGGGCAAAAACATCACCGATGTCGAGAAAGGGCAAGTTAAAGCCTATTTCAATGTCAATAAATCGTTGCGTTGGATTGCAAGGGCTATTGGACACAGTGACAAACTCGTGCGGACGTACGTTTCAAGTTTGAAGCGACCTGTTACACCCAAACGCCCAGGAAGACGCACCACACTGACCAAGCGAGAGATTCGACGAGTTTTTCGCCTCGCTACACGGAAGGGCATGTCGTCAAGGCAAATTGACGTAGTACTCAGTGGTAAAGTAACACAAACAACTGTTCTTAATGTGCTTAAAATGTCGAAATTCGCCAAGTACATCAAGCGCCGATCAGGTCCGCGACTCTCGCCCACACACAAGAAATAGCGAGTCCATTTTGCCGGGAAATACCTAAACAAGCTCGACGAAATCAAGTGCACGATGTTTAGCGACGAAAAGAAGTATATTCAGGACGGACCTGACGGATGCCAGTATTATTGGCATAACCTTAGAACTGAGGTCGAGACCTATTCCGAAAGGGTCGCTGGTGTCGGTTCGGTAATGGTTTGGTGAGCCGTCAGCTTCTACAACAAGACCAAGTTAGAGTTCTTGGAAGGCCGCTAGGACCCTCTGAAGTACCAAGACACCCTACGGACGTACCTTCTGCCTGCCATACAGGTGTTGAACGAACTGACACCAAGTGGGCCCGCCGTCTTCCAACAAGATAACGCCAGCATCCATCCTTCGCGTTCAATAATGGCGTGGTTGGAGTCCATGCCATGATGCCGTGGCCAGCTAAGAGCCCCGATCTAAACCCGATTGAGAACGTTTGAGTTTTGGCGCGCAAAGTGTATGCCAATGGTCGCCAATTCGACAACAAGGACCAATTGAAGGCTCAATTACAATCGTACTCCGAAATTGACCAAAAATACTTATAAACCCTAGTTGAAGGTATGCCTACAAGAATGGCCCAAGTTATTCTTTGTTGTGGACAATTAATTGATAAATACTACTTCCTCTGTCCCACATTAATATGCCAAAAGAAAAACACACTTTTTCCACATTACTGTGAACAAATTGATTTTATTGGCTCATCAGGATATACAAGATTTTCATTGGTCATTAAGTCCTAGCCTACAAGAGAAGGGACACAGGGCAAGACACATTCTGCATCAGAAGTCCAGCGCGTCGCAAGGCGGCCTTCTTCAGGTGAGGCAAGACGTAGTGGTTGCCTCCGTCGTGCTCAAGGATCAGTTGCATCACCGACTCAAACGTGAGAAAGACGCTCTCGAGCTTCTCGTAGCTCAGCTCTTCGAACGCTGCGAGGGTCGAGCGAATCACATCGTCGACAGTGCGACTCATCAACTTGTACTGTAGGGATTGAATCGATGCGAAGAAGCCGAGGTCCAGCGCGTTCAGGTCCGGACTGTTGGGCGGTTGTCGACGGAGCACAAACTTCCACCCGTCGGTGGACACAGCTTCAAGTTCAGCATCCGTGATGGAGGCATGAGGCGTCGCATTGTCGTGTTACAGGACGACACGCTTGTTCGCACTCGGAAAGGACGCCTTGATCGCAGGTATGACATTGTTGATGACGTAGTCTCGGTACACAGTTGCATTCACGTTGACCAAGGACGTCGCCATGGTACTGGCGGGACGGTTGCGTGAGTTGCGAACAGCGGGGACGGACTCCACGAATGGCCACATGCCCACTTTGCCATCAAACAACACCCCGCGGTCGTGGTCAAATCGAGGCCAGCCGATCGCGGCCAAGAACATCACCTTCGGGATAAAGCGCTTGCACTTCCACGTCCGCTGCGGAGGGGTCTCGCCGGGAACCAGGTACACCTTGCGGCGATCTTTGTCGGTATTGAACCACTTTTCGTCCAAATGGACCACATCCCATAGGCTCTCAAATTCGACGGTTTCATGCAGTGCGTTCTGTCTTGTTGGCGTCCGTGAGGAGCGGCTTGATTCGAGTCGATCGACGAACGAAGGTTCCCATCTTCAGGTGGCAGCTGAATGTACCCATGGAGAGACCAGTGGCAGCGGAGATGTCTCTCGTGGTCGATCACTGGTCCATGGGAACATCACGTACGAGGTTCCGGATGTCGTCGGGGGAGTACTTGGGCTTCGGACCAACCTTGGCGCACTTGTTGGACGACAGGGCACCGCGGGTATAAAACGTGTCCCAGATATAGGCAACACTGCGGCGTACGATGTCGAGCATTTCAGCAGTTCTTGTGAATGCACCACGGACTAACTTGCCATTAACAAGAAAGTGATGACGTTGTTGGATTACTTCAGCGTTCTTGCTGCTGGAGACGTCCTTACGCGTGCGGGGGGCTTGATTGACCATGGCGGCAAATTCAAAAGTGTGATGGTTTGAATATGTGGTGTAATTTTATTCGGTTGGTGGAAATTCGATGTTCATTCTGGGCGCGAAGAAGTTGCTTCGGCGATTACCATCCAATGCATGGTACCTGTAGTTTTTTATTGTCTTTTTAAAATGATATCATGCATCGAATTTGGTTAACACATTAATGTTCGGGGTCGATGACAACTCGTAAGGCATATTAATGTGGGACAGAAGAAGTACGTAGTAATCAAAAAGTGCGTCTATAATTTCTTTTCAGTCAATTTTTTGAAAATAGTAGATTTCTTGAGAATGATTGACTGTGAGATCCTTTTGCGGGCCAAGTTTTGTAACATTTTCAAGTGAACTGAGAGATAGTAGTGATCCAGAAAATAGTACGGTACTCCTTTCAAACAGGAAAAATTTAGGGTGCGTCTATAATTTCTTTTCGGACTGTATAGCTATAATTCAATAGTTATTCGGGACGAGATTCAATGTAGATCTATTTTTTATTTATACATTTAATCTCCTCCCGAATAACTAGTGAATTATAGCTAAAATCGATACGATCTACATGTAATCTCCTCTTTAGAGCGTGTTCTAAATAATTTTTAAAAATGGGCATTATCCGATCAAAACGCTCCTCAACTCACTCCAAAATCCACTTTTCAAAATGGGGTACAAGACCCCATTTCATCCCACTTTGGGCACCTCAGCTATTTCACCAATGACTGGCTAATAATGGATGCCCACTATCCAATCATTGATCCCAATCTCATTCCAACTTTTCAATTTGACATCATGGACTCGACCACTGCCGTGTTTGTTGCTGTCGTTGCTGCCGCCCTCATGTCGATCGACGGACGTAGCAACCGTGCCCTGCCATCAACACTGTTGTCGTACCACATGGCAGCAAATCAAGTCCGCCGGCACATACGACGGATGGTTCACGCGCCACCTGCGCTGCACCCGCCACACCTTTCTGCGCATCGCCGACAATACTGTGTTATTGACCAATCAGCATGCATCTTAGTCTGATGATTTATGTCCAATCAATCATGGTCATAGAATGGGTAGAAAATGGGATGAAATATTTTGTCATCCCATTTTTTTAATATTAGGAACAGACTCTTACAAAACGGTATTATTATTGCAAATCGGCCTTAGGGAAGTCCTCCAAGACTTGTAAATGTGGCACGGAACTCGGCCCTTAACGTATATGTTCTGACCGAAAGGCACATTAATATTTGCCTTCGATACGTAGTATATTACTTGTGTTTCTTTTTTGACAGACACCCCATATTGCCTTGGTTTACTTTTTTCTTTTTACATCTCAACTCGCTCACCCCCCATCACCGCCACCCACTTCCAGCAGCCCCAGCACCACTCCAACCATAGAAAGCGTCAACGTATACTAATAGTAGTACTAGTATATTAGTATCTTGGACACTCCACAACAACTACAGCATTGCACTCGTACATATATGACTTGTTTTCATTCACTTTACTGTAAATCTAGTAGCCACTGCATAACTTGGGCGGCACTAGGCCGATCAGTGGGGTTGTGTTGCAGGCACCGATTGGCCAAATCTGCTACGGGACACCCCACCTCAAACTCGACGTGGAGCTGGTGGGTGCGCACGCCTTGAATGATTTCAAACTCGTTGAGTGGTTTTACAGTCTTGGGGCGATATGTGGTGGCGTATGGGATATGGTGGGCGTCCAGTTCGTAGCAGACCATCCCGAACGAGTAAATATCGGCCGCCACCGTGTACTGGTTTCCCTCTAACCAACCAACAACCCAATGGTGTTCAATGGGGGTTCGGGGTTCTGGGGTTTCGGGGTTTTCAAACCCATAACCGAAGTTATACTACCAAATCAATCGAATAGAATGTATCCAGCATAACAATAACATTGGACAACGCGTTTGAATTAACAGTACATAACTTCACACAGCGTATATAGTCTGCCGGGGTTTCGGGGTTTCTGACGATGAAATACCAAAATACATAGATACAATATCGAAATACATCCATGAAATACCTTCATACATAGATGAAACACCAAAAGACATGGATAAAATACCATATAGATACATCGATGATATATACCCAAAGAAATAATACCTAAAATCTCGGGAGCTGACCATCGAAACGACCCCGCGCCTTGTGTTAGCAGCACTTGGACATCCATTTCCCTCGACCAGCCGAAATCCGTCAGTTTCGCATCCCCCGAGCTGTGGAGCAGCACATGCTTGGACTTGACATCGCGGTGGATGATACTGGCTTCATGAAGGCATACAAGCGCCTCGATCAGCTGGATGGCGTACCGGAGCTTCTCTGTCCACAAATCGACATTGCGGCTGGTTCGGGTATGCGTTAAATAGTCGCTTAAATTGCCTACAGGACCATATAAAAAATATTTTTAAAAATAATAATAGATGAAACATGATTTATGAGCAGTAGTATACCGCGGTCCATAAACTCAAACACGAGGTGCAGGTTGCCGTCGTCGGGGACGGACCACACGAGCCCGTACATGGCAATGATATTTGGCGAGTCCAGTCTAGGATAATTAACTTATCGCGTTAAACTACTGCTCCAACGCATATTACGATGAACCAAGTACCGCATCATAAGGTGGATCTCGTTGACAAACTTAGCCCAAGTTGGGCCCGTGGTCGCGTGCCGCTGCAGCTTTTTCACAGCTACAACTTCATCATCGTATACTCCGCGCCAAACTTGCTTGTCATCGGATTCGGATAAGAGGGTAGTTAACGTTAATAGATGAGGCTCGAGTTTCCACAGCGAAAAAGCATCCATAACGGACGCTTGGGCGTGGCTGCCTTCATCCTGGGAAATCAAAAAGAGGTGATTTCAATGAAAGGAACAAAAAGACGATGAAAATATGGTGAATAGATGAAAAACCGATTTCAAACAAATAATAATACCGTATGAATCAGGACAGTGATGGCTTTAAATGAAAAACGCTGGAATAGATGGTTTAAATGAAGAACTCCGTGGAATATTAGATGATTTGAATGAATAAAGACAGCGGACGTATTGGATTAACGGAATTCTACGAGTAGTAGTAGTAGTAGTAGTACATAGTAAGGAGAGGTACTTTAATATGATCGTACTGTGAGTATGTCTTCCACGGGGGTCACCGAACTGGACTTGTACACTGGGCTCACGGCAGATTTGATCGTTTCAGCCCACATAAAGTGCGAGTGTTGGAGGTTGTTCGCGTTTGGCTTCTTATACCGACAGACGTATACGACACTACCGACGAGGAACAGCACGCCCACGATTAAGACGATGTACCCGATCCATTCCAGCGCGGCTACGAAGTCGCTAAAGTGAGGATGGAACGAGGCAGATAGATGTACAATTGGGTGAAGGTGTCGGGGTCATTTTTAGCTGGAGCGCTGCACATGGAGGAGATATGGTGGTGGTGTTGAAAGCCGATAGGGATGCCAGACGCTTGATGGCAGGGCAAGCTACGGTGTAAGCGAAGGTCGTTTGATTGCAAGTGTCAGCGTTGTACCAGACGCAGTCGAGTCCGTCTGTGGAGCCACACTCGATGGCCGAGGAGTTGATTGAGCGGAAGCTGCCCCAGAGGCTCATGACCTCGACGCACAACCAGGTACTCATGGAGATAGTATTACAGTGTCAACGTAATGGGGAATGGACATGCACGTATGTAGGTAGTATCATCGATCAGCTTACAACTTACCCGATCTCGTAGGGGCTGGCCTGCATCTTTATTACTTAAAGTACGAGGTACGTACTGTACGTTTTACTTCAGTAATTCCTTGACACCAACAGTTCCATCAGAGATATTGGTGCTTGTGTAATCATGTCACTTGTTCTTATGATGGCATTGTCAAATGCAGTGTAAACCGAAACAACAACACGCCTAGGGGTTAAGTGCATTTCAGTAACTTCGTTAGACATAGCTAACCACTGGCAATGCAACGTAACCCCAGGAATACCAACACAACGAGGTCCAGGGGCTCCGAGGTTACAGTCTTTTTTGAAGGGAAATGATTACGTATGCAACAATGAAACTGTTGCTCGTAGGGAATTACAGTACTATTATTCGATTGTGTATTGTAAGTTCTGGGTAACGTTACTGTAGTTTACCGTCCACGGTCGGCATACAAATGTCGAGCATCCCACCGTGCGACGTGGAATTCGTAGACTGGCGGGGCCTGTCGCTGTGAATGATGTCCCACTTGCTAGGTATATCTATTACTGAACCCCAAGTGAGTCATAATATTAATAGTACTATTAATAGTGTAGTGCAAAGTGAAAAACGGCACACATGTTATCCTACACGCAATTATGACCAATCGTCGTAGCACACTAGTATCATTTAGTTATGACCAATCATATGGCAAACAACACACACTTGAAAGACAGGCCTCCAAAAAATGGAGTACACTTCACGTGAAGTACAGTACGTACTGTATTTACTCCTGAGTCCTACCTGTACGTAATATTCGGATGCAAATCCGGATGCGACGAGTACACTAATTGACAGTAATTAGTGTGATCCACACTAATTGGAACCTCATTTCACAGTCCGTGGTACTGCAATACACTAGGAGTACGTAGTAACGTTACCGGTACTATACTGTATCTCACTGTTACCTTAATTTTTGTACGTGGGATTTGTCATGAAAAGTCAAATCAGCATTGACAGTGAAGTAAACAGTCAACAGAGCAGACGTATCATATCGAAGTGTTGGTACCATATACGATGACTTTCTATCACCAGAGCAATTGGGCATTTTTGCTTACACCCCAACCACCAAATTCTGTAAAATAAATTGATCCGCACCATACGTAACGTTATACTGTACTTAAGTACGTATATAATTAATTACCAATCACATTTTTGACAGTTTCATCCACATCTATTAGTGTGGACCAAACTAATTCTTAATCCACACTAATTCTCAATCCGCACTATTCAATGACGATCGACGGTGTCAAAACCCACAAGTGCAGCATTGTTAATTTCCTTCAAAATTTTCAATTCTGCCCCGATCGCTCTCGCCGTGTCATTTGATTGTTAACGTTACCAAATAATCCACAGAAAGGGCATGCAAAATAAAAATTTATATTAGCCAATCAGCGACAAAAAAATCATAATATCCAATCAATTGTCACCCCGAAACCCAAAATTTGGACTTGTGTGCTGATTTTCGCCAAACTCCTCAATCGATGCTTTGTACTGAATTTTGTATGTAAAGTGTTGTCCTGTGGTGATTGTTGTAATCACACATTAAGCGTTGATGGTGGTTTCCTGCAAGCGGATTGCACAACAATATTAATAAGGGAATGCATCAATTGTTGACACGGCGTACCAAATTGTGAGATTGTCTTATTTTTAGCCAATAGCATGTCGATATTTCATAGTTGCCTTGTATGATTGGATATGATAATATTCGTCTCTTTATTCTATTACACGTCTCAATGTGGACAGCCTGTTCAGTCTCAAACAAAAAATACACGTATATAAATAGAATGTCAACGATAAACCCTTGAGCTGTCCCTCCATACAGGCCTACGAGAGCGTATAGCTATGTGATACATGGAAGTACTCACTTTCGAGCCATCGCAACCATAGACGAACAAGCAGCAGCGTATCACTAGAGAGGTTTAGCAACTTGTCCAGACCGCATCCATTCCGCACATTTTTGACAATAATCGCTGTATGGACGCGGTCTGGAATATCGACATTTTGGTTTTGCATCATCCCACTCCGCATCCGTACAATCATCCGGTTAGGGCTGCCGGATACGATATAAATTCATCCGTCACCAACATCACATGGCGTTCACGCCGATGTTAGCCACACACGCGACTCTAAGACCGCCCATCAGCGTCACCTTGTACTTGCGCTACTCGCCTCTCCAATCATATAGGGACAAGAGAGGCAAGCATCACAAGGACAAGTAGAAGCTGAGGCCGTAGATCCCCGTAGACTTCCCAGCAGTGACGTAGTTGACTGATGGCAACGCTTATACAGTACACCCTGATTAACCCTTGAATGTCGTGAATATTCGAGCACCTTGTTCAATATCCAGATCTACCTTCTTCATCGTCACTAACATCGAAGCCGTGTCCTTCGTGACGAAGAATTGTGCCATATACTCGGAATTCCCAACAGGCAATATGAATTGTATGGAATGGACTACCGATAGTTAATTCCCTACAATTGCCCAATTGTGCGGAGTACTGTATACATTGAATATTACAGGTAACTCTGGTTTTGTCACCATATGGCGGGGCGCCGCTATGGATGCAGAATGGAATGAGTTGCTAAACCTCTCTACTCTTCGCAACGTGTGGATAGCCTTCACTGTGTCGCTACTGTTGTGATCCACAGCTGTGACTTCAAATGTGATTGCAAGTACTTTTTATGCTGACTACTTAAATTCATGTAAACTTGTATGACGTGTTGCGAATTGCATGCAATTACTCAGTATAAGTTTGAAGTTATTTTGCATAGAAATTGAAATACAAACCTGAAATGCAGTCCAATGATGGCTCAATGAATCAGTTCGCTCGTGTGGTGCTACAGTATCAGCATTAAATTAATCGTTTTGGAGCTACTGGGACTATTTGAAGTCATGGCCGACAAAACTAGACCAAACAACAGTGTCAATAATTGGTGCACTTTAATACTACTGAAGCTAGGTCAAGCTAGCATTTGCAGCACTTGGGCCGGCGTCGGCCGTTTGTTTGGATCCAGCGCCAGACACAGCGTAGCCAGCTTTTGTACTCGATGGGGGCAGGACGTGCTAAAGCCAACTACGCCATGGTACCTTTTCTTATCCTCTTCTTCTGCTGGGTTTCTTTCTGGCGGACATTGCAGCGACGGCCGCAGGAGCACAATATCACTGAGCGCGTCCTCGTCTGTCGCGTATGGCGGCTGATGGGTGTCGAGTTCGCTGAGTAAAATGCCCAGGGAATACATGTCTGCTTGCGCAGTGTACTGGCCGCCCTCGAGCACTTCAGGTGCTGTCCACTGCAGAGACCCGATGCCCTGGGTCATGGTCGTTCCAGACACTTGCCGCGCCACGCCGAAGTCCGTGAGCTTGGCGCGCAGGTCATGGGACAAGAGGATGTTACGCGCTTTGATATCTCTATGAATCACGCCGAGCGCGTGGATATGACCGAGGCCAGACACAATATCTTTGAGAATTGCCAGCTTTTGCGGCCAATTTAATAGGGATGGCGTCAACTTGGTTGTGCTCAGGTACGTTTGCAAATCCCCTCGCTCCATGTACTCGAGCACAAGCGATAGATCCCGCAGGCGCATGTATGATACCCCCACAACCTGAATTACGTGGGGAGATTGCACTCTACAATGAAAAACTATGATTAGAATATATATCATTGTATATATAGATATACAAAGGAGAAAAAATAGATATCATAGTGGCAAATTCGTTCCTCAGTGGACTTTTCCAGTCGAATCGAGGGTGAAAAAGTAGGCAACTGGTTGGTGTATTTGTGAGAAATGTCGTAGCCAATCAGAGTACACTTGGAGATAGCTGAACCAATCCACGATCATCACAGTTTTTGACCCAACCAAAACGTACAGCTTTTAATATTTGGATAGTATCAAATTTCACGGTTTGTTCAAATAGATATAACGGATTGGCTAATTAATGGCCACTTCGCCCTGTTCGGTAGAAAATCAAAAATGGATTGTAGCCAATCAGCGACAAGGATTTTTTTTTTTTTTTTTTTTTTTTCGTATTGACCAATGGGAGAGATTAGCACCCGGTTTGGTCAATGAGATCGGGTCCGGATTGAAATTCATACCGACTATCTCCAATATATCATTTGTTTTATATCATTAAACAATCTAAACAACGATGTACTTCATATAAAGACCGTTTGTTCATTGGATTGATTGTATATATATATATATACAATCAATCCAATGAACGAACGTTCTTTACATATATATGTATATATATATGTAAATTTATATATTGCTCCTTAAAAAAACTTGGACTTGGACTGATCGATCTTAGATCTGAGTAATGTCCATCACACACTAATTTTTGGCATACACCAATTATACTGGGAAGCTGGCCTACATTTGCAAAATCCAAGCAAGAAAGGACAACGTCATATGGTTGTGTTTATTCGAACCTGGAGTAGCAATATGGGGAATGAATAAGTACTGAATTGACAAGCAAAAGTGTACACAAGAACATTGAGCCAATCAGGTTACATGTATGACTTCAATCCGTGTAATTGGACGTTTTATACAAAATATTCAGGTCGTCAATATACCCATATATCGACGAATATAACACGAATAATATGAATCCACCACGTCCAAAGTGAGTGTAGTAATATAATGTATTCTTGTGTTGTTTTTTCTAAACTGGATGGCGACATGGAAAGAATAATAAATCGACACAGCCAAAAGAATATAGCCAATCAGAGTGCAGGAAACCTTCATCCCGAATGTCAAATTAGTGTGTAACTTCAATTAGTGTGATCCCCATCACCCCAGAACCCGTTTTGACATTCAAAACGTTAGTCCAGCGTATGTATAATCAATCGATATATTTGGCGCAAAAAGTCAGCCAAATATTTCTTAAGCGAAGAATAAATATACTAATACTGACCGGATCATGAGTTCTATTTCCCCCACAAAGGCTTGCATGATGTCCATGGATCGATCGCACTCGAGCGGCTGCTTGACCACAACCACCTTGCCCAAGTACCGAGCGAGGGACACGAGGCCCGTGGAGCTCGTGTGCAGCGTCGAGATGGTCGCCAGTTGGGTCTCATCTAGTCGCCAGTGGATGAGGTTGCCCAGGTGGATGTGATCTGCAGAGAAAACTGAATCGTCTGGGGTGAGCTTGTTTTGAAACAAACGTCTGCCAAAGTTGGATCGAGTGGACATGGGCCACATAAACGACGACGCGCCGCGGGATCGGGTCGTAGGAAACGTCTTCTTCTTCATGTGCACGAGGAAGCCCACACAGACGACAATTCCCGCGGCTAGCGCCACGATGATGATGATCGTAGATGACGACGAGTGCGGTGGAAGGGATGGCGCGGGAAGAGGCGATGATGGGGACGCGGGGCACCACACAGGCAGTGGTGACGTCAGGCTGGCGCACGGCAGCGGAAGTGTGCTTGTATCGAGGACCAGAGACGGTTCTTGTAGCAAGGCCGTCGCGCACGCCGTGGACGTGGGAAAGGACACGCAAGTGCGTTGATCGTTGGACAGGCATGCTGTGGTTTCAAGGTGGACCACGACGCTGTCGCCGGCGGTCGTTTGAAAGCACCGCCAGTCTCCCTTGAGTTTGCTGGGCGGGTCGGTGGTGGTGGTAGTGGTAGTGGGTGGTGGTGGTGGAGGTGGTGTCGTTGGGGTACCACTCGACGTGAGCTGGACGTACACTTGGCCGCACAACGTCGACGCGTTCCTTGTCTCGGACGCAGCGCACGATTTGATCGGACGGGTGTTGTCGTTCATGTACTTGTCCTGGCATTCCTGCAACGTTGGAATCAAGAGGCAGTCCTTGGACTGATCGTTCATGGTGCACGAGAGCACGTCGGCTACGTCCACACGCCATGTGGAGTACACTGTGAACGAAGGAGGGGTCTTCAGGCATGTCCAGGAAGCACCAGCGGCGGCGGCGGAGGACATGGAGATGAATTGCCGCGGGGTTGAGTCTGTGGTGGTGTTGTCGTGGTGTATGATAGATAGATACAGTGCAACAAATCATTTAATATAACAAAATGCATGGCCCAGGACATCGACATTTGATTGGATAAATTAGGGATACTTGAAGGCCAATTAGAAGTCAGATAAATCCCGAAACCCCGAAACCTACCATAATAACACTACTGTACTGTTACGTATTGCATTCTTCAACATATCTCTCGCCTTATGGCAACAACAATGTTATCTTGTGCGAGTAGTAATTTGTAACTCCATTGTACTAGTAGTATACTATTAATAGTAGTATTCTCACACAAGCATCAAAATATACTGGATGGATCTTCAATATCGCCGTAGAGGTACAGTATTGGGTCGAGCAGTAATATTGTCAAGTCGACTCGAAATTGGAGTGGGAGCCCCAAATCGGCAGACAATCGATCGACCAATCAAAACCCAGATCAATAATCAAGTAGCCAATCGAATCCATTTTCAACATCGAATTAGTATGTGACTTCAATTAGTGTGCACGGGATGATTTTTATATACAAAAGTCAGTACAAAGAATCGATCGATAGATTTGGCGAATCAGCTCAAAAGTCCAAATTTTGGGTAAAAGGACATTAAATAGTACTAGTACTATCGCTAGTACAGTACAGTTCAGTGCTACTGTACTAGTATTCAAGTACTACAGGAGTAACTTCGATATATTGAGCGAATACATCAACACCACTAACGCTGTTAGTTCTACCGAGACAAGATCATACCACGCTCAATATGTAGGGACTGGCGTTCTGAAGAGGCTAATGATAGCGCCATACCTTTTGCATGTTGTGTTCATAACAGGTGCCAGTAGGATAGTTAGTACATGTGATGTGTAATTACCTGGCTTGTGTGACTTCGAATTTTGTGATGTGTGTAATGACACCATGCTCTTTTATTGACACCAAAAACTACCAAGCTGTAGCCAATTACAGATGACTTTGTCAGTATCCATCAGCCACTGACACAATTTTCTATTGCAGTAACGTTAACTGTAAAATTTGTGATTCACCAAACCTACTATGCATAGAATCTTCGCAAAACACTGTACAGTACTACAGTAGTACACGACCAAAGTTGTTCAAGTCTCGTTTCACTGTGTGTGAAATTTCGTTCGATGGATGGGTGACTGAATTCGACTATAGTACTAATTAATTTAGTAAATAAGTTTATTTTTATTCGATCTATCCATATTATTGAACAATACCACTTATATAAGAGAAATTATCCAGAAAGACGGGTATAATACTTGGCAAAATGTACAACGAACCCAAGGTGTACTCAACCGAGATATACTACTTCCTCTGTTCCAAACTACTGCCATCATTTGAAAAACACACTTGTTTCAAATTACTGCCAGCGCTTGTAGGCCTTATGATTGGCTCATCATACCGTTGATTTCATTGGTCGTCAGTGATACAATACAACTAAGTTTAAGAGATACCCCTGTTCATCAAAATTCATTCATTTTCGGGAATCATAATGCAACCTTCATTCTTTTTAGCCAATCATTCTGCTTGGCTCGAATTGTTGGCGATTGCAATATCCACAATAGTTGGCATCCATTCGATCGTTGCAACAAGAGTACTAACTACATACTTCCTCTGTTCCTCTGTTCCACATTACTACCAACATTTGCCATTAAAGTGTCCCCATCCATATATTTCTTGACCAAATTTGATGTGCTATAGATCTCATTTGAAAGAGTATCAAAAAAAAAAAAAACTACCAGGAGAGGTATGTACTTCGAAGTATCATATTTCGAAGGTCCTCGGACTGCTCGGCGACTGTTCCGCGGTTCATTCAAACAATACCGCCGGAGGAAATTTTGAGTACCTTACAGTTAGAACACGCAATCAATACCTAACCTTATTGTGCATCTTGTGAGTCATTTCGAAAAATAGCATTCGAATCCATTTGATCTCATTTACATTGTAAAGCTTGTACTGTACAATACTAGTAGAGTATACTATACAAAGATTAGTATATACTGTAAGATATATGGTTTTGCTCAAAGACTGGGCCCAGTCCAACGTTTGGATTGCCAGAAATTTACCAGAACGTGATTTGATTGGCTTAAACGGTTCTTTCATCGATTCTCCTAAGACACTCGATTCTACTGAGGTCTCCAGTTTCGAATCGATTTGACAAGATCACTCCGTAGTAAAATCGACTGTACGTAGTACTATTAATCTAAGTAAGTTATTGTGAGTTCGGTTCAAAATTTCCGAGATCGGTTCGTTGATACGACCTGGACAAACGCGCTGCAATTCCAACTTCTTGCCAAACCCAATATTTATGAACTAACTAGGCGAGTTTTGAGCGCAAAATGACTTCCATTGAGTGCCTCGGCAAACACGTACTAACTTAGTAGTACTAGTCGGCATCTCGAATCGAAGTAGTAACCATCCCACATGGTGCATTGTCATCACTTATCATTCTCTCAGCAGTCGAGGGTGTACAGTACCTCCGTGAAACTTAATGTGTATATTACTACTGTAGTCCAAGGGATCGATGCATTATTGAGGGTAACTTACTCGAACTTCTATGTGCTTAAACTCGTTCCTTCACAAGCCCAAAGTACCCAATATATTATGGTATACTCACAGGGGAAATACAGCTGTAATGATATTGTCCTTTTACCCAAAATTTGGACTTTTGTGATGCCAAATCTATCGATCGATTCATTGTTACTGAATTTTGTATGTAAAAAGTTGTCCTGTGGCGATTGGTATCACACTAAATCAAGTAATACACTAATTCAACGTTGATGATGGTTTCCTGCAATCTGATTGGCTAAATCCTTCTTCGATTCTTCTGTCCCTTTCCTGGACTTGCCTACCAGCTAATACTATTGATTGGTGAAAATGGGATGTTTTTGACCAATAAGACCGGTTTGACCAAATGTGGATTGCGAATTCACCATAATTTACTGTTAGTACATTGATAATCGGCATCAAAAACACGGTGGTTTATAAAAGAAATACTCTCGATGCTAAACTTCATTGATCAAGAGCATGGAATATGTATGTCTGTACATACGCGACATCATTGATCTTTAATGGATACATGATATAGGCAACTGATTGGATTACGACTACTAAAACTCGGATTCATTTCCGCTGGTGCTGCTGATGACCTCCACTTCTTCGCTGTCGCCTAAGTCGACGATGTTCATCTTGGCGCTAGCCACCGCCTTGCTCTGTCTCGACGTCCGCTCTCGTGTCGGCACCACGGGCGCCTTCTCCTCGTCTTCACTCGCGTCGCTGCTTCAAACAAATATATATATTATTCACACGATTCCAAAATATTCATATTATTACGATTCCAACCCATATAGTATTCACCCGTTTCCAAACGTCATGAATCGATCGATAGAGTTGGCGCATCAGCACAAAAGTCAGCCAAATGTTGGGTAAAAAAGGAAGACAATATTCTGATTATTGTTCTATTCACTCCAAAACAGTACTATTATATTGAGTATTCCAACCCATCTCATGAATATAATGTTATGATATTCCAACCCCTCATCGTACCTGTCGCTGCTGGCCGCTACGACGTGTTCACGACGTTGGGCGGCACGGGTGAGTTTCTTCTTGAACGTACTTAGCGCTTCCTTTCGTTCTGCGACTTGGTCCAAAATCTAGATATGCCTTGTCAATATATATAATATATATTAAAATAATAATAATAAATATTTTTAATACAAAAAAATAAAATCTTTATTTTTAAAAATATATATATATCATTACCCATTGCGTGTCGTGATCTGTCAAGTGTGGAGGCGACTGAATCACTTGCTCCATGCGGGCTTTAAACTTGGTCGCGTCCGCCGCCTTAAAAGCGCCGCCCACTTCTTCGAGCAGCACCACCAGTCGGCCGTTGCGGTCGGTCCACTCGAGAGACTGCAGCAGCGTCCACCAGTGCTTTTGCAGCGCTTCTTTGTCTCGCTTGGGCAGGTTTTTCAGTTCTGCGATCGCCAGGATTTCCACGCAGCATTGTAGGCTCAGTGCGTCGTGCGCGGCGTCTTTTCTGCGTACATTCGTTGATGGTTCATACAATGGTCTTATATATATATATATATATATTGTTGTGTTTATTCGAAATTGGGGAGGGGGTGCAATCGACTAATCGCGCAAACCGATCCACAATCGAACTGATTGGTTGTTGAATTTTATTGAGAAGGTTTTGATTGGCTGATAATTTTGAGCGTAGCCACTCAAATAGATTTAAATTCCAACGAGAAACCACGCCACAACACGAAATTGAAAGCACAATATATATTGTTGTGTTTATTCGAAATTGCAGAGTTTGCGAGTGCTCCATCGAATGACCAGACTAACCAAATCGGCATCGATATATCGACAAACCCAGAACATTATAATATCAACTGACCAATCAAAGTACCAATCCAACATTGAATTCGTGTGAAAATAACGATGGTTACAAAAGTCAGTGCAATACGCGAATATCAATCGATGGATAGATTGGCGAAAATATCAGCACAATAAAATATTATTCAGTTTTTGAAGAGAGGGGATCATCGTACTCTGGAAAGATGGAGAGAAAGTACACCGCCGCTTCGTCGAGGGGAATGGCGCTGGTGCCGTACACGATGCTGCAGAAGATCGACCGGATGGTCGCGACGATCAAGTCGAACTGGAGGTTGGCCAGGGCGGGGTAAAATACGCTGAGCAGTTGGAGCGTTTCAGAGCAGAACCCGTGGTCGTTGGAGTGCAGCATTTGCTGTAGAATCGGATGAAAGTACAGTTCCATCATGGCTTGCAGTTTCTATCGTCCAGATCAGAAATATATATATATATA